CAAAACTTATTCCAAAAATGTAACTTTTCTAAGGACAAATGCTAGCCTTGCTATATTCTCTGAGGCGCGTTTGTAACGTCACGTAATACGTAATTACGTTCAAATGGTCACGGGCGACGTAGCCGAAAGTACAGAATCAAAATCGTCCGACATCGTTGTTTTTCCTTTTAATTCCTTTTTTTGTAAACGGTGTTTGAGCTAGTTTGCACGTTCAACCTATGCGTTCAACTTGTAAACACTGACTCTGTACTTTCGGCTACGTCGCCCGTGACCTTTCGAACGTAATTACGTATTACGTGACGTTGCAAACGCGCCTCACAGAATAGAGCAAGGCTAGCATTTGTCCTTAGAAAAGTTACATTTTTGGAATAAGTTTTGAAATAACCGATCGTTTCGCATGATAAGACCCTTATTCATCGTCTGATATCGTTTAAAGACATTTGAAGCTGCATCTGAAACTGTTATTAACACTGTCTTTTGGACCTTGAACCGTCCGGTTCCCATTGAAGTCCATTATATGGAGAAAAATCCTGGAATGTTTTCATCAAAAACCTTAATTTCTTTTCGACTGAGGAAAGAAAGACATGGACATCTTGGATGACATGGGGGTGAGTAAATTATCAGCAAAAGTTTTTTCAAAAGTGAACTAATCCTTTAAGTTGATGAAACTTAAGCCCGGAACACACACGAGCCGACGGTCGTTTTTGTTTGTCGGCCGACTAAGATTCCTCGTTCTGTGCTGTCGGCTGAAAATAGTCCTCGTCGGCTTTCTTTCGCCCGATTCGACATGTTGAATCGGCGTCGGGCCGTTGGGGAATCAGATAACTCTGATTGGCTGTTCAGCTTAGTGAAAGAGCCAGTGCATGAGAATAAAAGCAAAACAGCGAGCGAAGAAGGTCAAAACGGTAAAAGAATCAAGATAGAAGGCTGTTCTTAAGTTACGTCTTCTTACCTGAGTCTTCGTTGGCGAATATTTCAATATTAACGTTTAGCAGGATTGATATTCAAAACGGTAAGCAGGCGCTGCTTTGTTTACTGTGTGTATTTGCAGCCGGCAGCGTTAGTTTTCCTTTTTTGAATGACGGATATAGACTAATATATCTGCAGAAATAGACAGTTGGCTCATTACACGCAGGCACAGAACGCACTTTATAGCTGACAGCCGCCTGTAGTTCTCTCGGTGTGTTCAAGTGCAGCTATTTACCCCGACGAGAGGCGACAACACAGTCAGCTTTCATCAGCGCTAGTTCGTCGGCGTCGGCTTGGTGTGTTTTCCGGGCTTTAGACATTTTATTCTACAACATAAACTGCACGCAATCACACCCCCAAACATTCTTATCTAGTTACTTATTAAAAACAGTTTTTATTATTAAACATAACAGCTTCAAATTTTGCGTTTCCGATATGGATGTGTAATTTATGCACTGTAAAAAAAAATATTGTTGGTTTAACTTAAAAAAATAAGTAACCTGGTTGCCTTAATTTTAAGTTGATTCAAATGGAAAAAGTGAGTTAATACAATGAAGAAGATTGATTTAATCATCAAAAACTCAAAATAATATGTCATCTGAACTAAATAAATTATTTAAGTTGATTTGACCAAAGAAAAAATGTTGTGATAACAAATCTTGAAAATATTTTTTTTACAGTACCGCCTTAAATTTTTAAGTACAATCAACTTAGATGTTTAAGTTATTTCAACTTTCATTACATTAAACTGACTCGAGTTGAATCTCGTATAACATAAAAAGGTAAAAATTGATTGATTAATTTGGTGAATTAAAGCACTGTAAAACATATGTTGTAAAACAAATATAAATTTATAGTTACAGTGTAGGCCGACTGTAATGCTCGCCAATGGAACCCAGAAAAAAAATGAATCCTGTGTTAATAAAAAAAATTTTAAATTGAAAATATTATACACAGAACGTAACAAGTCTAAGCCAGACTTGCAAATATTGCTTATGTTGTGTAGTGTGAAAAAGAAAAATTGGTCACAGTTTACTGTCTCCAAATCTCACTCTTAACTAACTATTGCATCACTACGACTTTTGCCTCAATAATTAATAGTTAGGTATTGGGGATTGAGGAATGTATGGTCATGCAAAATAAGACAATAATATGTGCTTTGAGTACTAATAAATTGCCAACATCTTAGTAATATAAGCAGAATAGGACCCTAAACTATAGTGTTACCGAAAAAATCATTGGGTCTTTCTTGCACATGGGGGCCGGTTGAACAGGGACACGCCATTAGCCCTTCCATACACCCCACCCAATGAGATTTATACTGCAGTCAGGACACACGGCTTAGCCAATGTTACCTGTCCTATATAACATCAACATGATGAATGACTTCCCAAAGAGAGCAACCTCCGAGTATGAACACTTGTGGCTGAGAGTGAAAAACGAATGAAACTTAATATCACAGCCTGAACGATAGCAGCTACAGATGACCAGCAATACCATTAACAGTTCGCTCTCTTTCTCTTTCTTTGCTTCATTTTATTGTTCAGTTAGTCTTCGTGGTTACTGATTCAACCTGTGGATATTATCTATATTAATATTATCTGCTTCGCCCCAGGAGATGCCTAAAAATGTTTTGAGAACCAATGTGATAGCAGAGAGGGATTGTAAATGAGTCATTTAAAAGTAATGAGACGTACAGAGATCTTAATATAGATAAGGTGCTATATTAATGAGGAAATTGCACTTTAGATGGCCTGTGTGATTGGGATAAATTGGACATGTGTGGTTCTCACTGTGTGTTTATAACCCTAATTCTGTGTGCAATAGTTTTAGCTGCAAATTCACATTTCAGTTTGTGCTAGATGCTGCAGACACGCTGAGGCCTTCATATATACGCTGGGGTCCAAAACTCTGAAGCCAAACAAGTTCAAGCAAAGTTGCTTCTGCACTATTTCTAGGTCACTAATCAAATAAGCTAATTTGTGACAATTTGACAATGAACTTCTTTGTGCAGATGGTTTTGCTTTCACTGAAGCTCAAGTTGCTCTTTGGATCATTTTCAAATCATGCTGGATTCCTTAATTCAACTTTAAACTTTCAGTTTCAAATATAAAATGTAATTCTAACCAGTATTGTGGAAAGTTACTTTTTTAAAAGTAATCCGTTACAATATTGTGTTACTCCATAAAAGATGGAAACACATTTACCGAATAAATCCCCCTATATGCACAACACAAAAACTCACGTGACTTTGCCTCAACAGCGGCTGTGATTGGATAACTTGACTGACCAGCGACCAATTTTATTGCACAGCATGTCAAATGTTGGTTTGATCGTTCTAAAATGCCTGAGCCATAGTCTGTCATCAGAATAATTCGGTTTAATTCCATCCCAGAAGTGTCTTGCATGATTGCAATCACAAGCGCTCAGACGCAAGTCATTTATGATGTACAGTAGGATAAAAGAGCCATCGTTTCTTCCACAATTGCAGTAACTTCCATTTGTATTCCATTTTTATTTATAACTTTCCATTTTGCTCTCTTGAACACAAGGGATGGAAACGCTGCGTTATTCACAAATGTTATTTTAAAAGTTAAATTCTCAGCTTTGGATGGAAACTTAGCTTATGTTTGTTTATATGTAAGGACTTATGGTTTCTGTAAGGACAGAAAAATGACTGCATTGCACCATTTTAGGACGTGTGTCTCTCTTCATTTTAGTTTTTCTTTCTAGCTTGGCAGTGTTTTTTTGCAGAGGCAGTGCAGTCCTCACTCTTGGACACCGCAAATCTCAGATGTGTTTCCAGACCTGAGGCCAGTAAGGAATGAGTTTACGATATCACACTGTGAAATCAAACATCTTTTCTTTTTCTCATCTCTGCGAACAGCCAGAGGACATGTGTGCAGTCAAATAAAGATTCCGCCTCTACCGAATATGCATGCAAGAGCCTTTATATTGGGCCCTGATAAAAGGTGAAGTATAAGAAATATAGTTTGTCCGTGCATTTATGAATTTAACAGACAATTTTATCCAGAGAAACTACAAAAAATGGTCAAATAACATTCAAAGTATACATTTTGCCAGTATAACTATATAGTAACTATATCAAAAGTTTGGAGTCAGCATATTTTTTCTTTAAGAATTAAATTTTTTAAATCGATCAAAAGAGAGAGTAAATTAATTAATTTATAAATTATGTTACAAAAGATTTCTACTTTAAATAAAAGCTGTTCTTTCTAACTATCTATATCAAATAAACCAGGGAAAAAAAACAAGAAATAACAATTCTTGATCATCAAATCAGCAAATTAGACTGATTTATGAAGGATCTTGGACACTGAATACTGGAGTAATGATGCTGAAAATTCAGCTTTGATCATAAATTTATCATTAATGGCAATAATATTTCACCATATTCCAGTTTTACTGTGTTTTTTATCAAATAAATGCAACCATGGTGAGCAGAAGAGACTTCTTTGAAAACATTAACAAATCTTACCGGCCCCTTGTTCTACCAGTTGAGCTACATTGTCTTAATATAGTTGAATAGAGTTTGAAATTTAGTGTATGTGAAGTTTTCCGTATTTTTTTCTTCTTCTTTGTAATCTGTTTCTCATGTGTGGTACAACAACTTTCACAAGAAGATGAAAAAAACTAGCATTGACCAGATTTTCAAGAATCTGTAGTGCCACTTAAAACCTACAACTACATTCTTGAACTTCTATAAGTCCTTTATTATATTAACTATATGAGTATTTAAACTTGTGAAATCTCTGCTTTGAACAGGAACCAGCTGTCCCCTTTGTCCTCTATATGCTGCGAGGCAGTTTGAGCGTGTCCATCTGGAGAAACCTGCTGAGTTCACACGCTTTGATGCTATAACATAAACCTTTAGCCTCTGAATAAGCTGTCCGCGCTATGAGAGAGGGGGAACACATTTACAGAGAGAGATAGAATAGACCTAGAAGAGAAAGATGTCTAGTGACGTGAAGTGAAAAGACAGCAGGCGTTTCTAAATAACAGCTACTTACCGAAATCTTTTTTGCAGTATTTTTTCATGGTGACCTTCATCTTGCCCTTGGGGCTCTTGCAGTGGGAGTCACAGTCTGAGGAAGATAGGAGAGATAACTAGTGAAACACAGGTGAAGTCTGTGAGAAACAACAAAATTAGGGTTTCAGCTGTGTTTGCAGATGGAGAATCATCTGCCATTTTCAACATCTTTGGTACTTTCCCCTGTAAAGCCTGACATTTGAAATAATAATCAGAAAAAAAATATTTAAAAAATTGGGGTATCACATTTGATACATCAGGCTTTCGTGGCTCATTTAGAATGAGAATCTAAAGATCATTGAGGAAGTAAAAAAACACCTACATTTTATTCAGAGGCCCAAACTGAGCAAAAGTGTGTAATTTAGTGCAGTTGCTGATGTTTATTTACCAAAAAGTAAGATGATATTCTGATGGCTTGTAATGTCTAATGCAACAGCATTCATGCACTTTTAAGTGCGACTCAAGTGTCCAGATGATTTTGGGGCTGCTGTATCATTCATACATTTAAAGAGAGTTACGTTAGACCTAATTAAGACTTAATGGGTATTTAATCATTTAATCTTTTCTTCACTTAACCCAGTCATTTTCTCACCCTAATTATCAAGCGCCTCCCCATATCCCCCCACTTACTCAGCAATGTCAGGGCAGGGGGTTCACAGGTCATTTAAACGTCATTCAGACACAGAACACCCCCCTCACAATGCCCACAATACCGAATCCTCATTTAAACGCAGCTTTCCACATATAAACCTCAGGGACGGCATCCAGCACGCAATGATTTATAGCTCTAGCGCTCAAGCGGATCTATCCGACACCACCATGGAGACCCAAACCCCACATTGAGCCCTCGGCGATGTGAGTCGCTTCAACACCAGGCAACTCTTGGACTGGGACCAGAGTGTTAAAATGGCTCAGTTCTCCTGTTGCAAACCGCAAACCCGAGAGTCTCTCGTCGCAGCTACTTCACATAGCGTAATAACCTCGAGATTTCTGGTGGACTGGAAGAGATGGGAGCGAGAAGACCTTTCAGCTTTCGCCTGAATATGGACAAACTTCATTATTTTCTCCAGCCCTCTGTCAAATCCACCCTTTTCATGTCCCTTTATATTCCGTCTGAATGAGGTTACCTGGGCAACGGCGAAGCAGGAAAGAACCACCAACCCGAATATAAAAAAGTTTGAAGGGGAAAGTGAGGGGGAGGGGGGGTGCTAGAAGAGCGAGATGTCTGGCAGCTTTGGGGGGTGGTGGTAACACAAAAACGGTGGTGCGCAGAATTAGGATGTGAAGGACCGTGGGGGGAGAACTGGAGGCAGGGAGTGAGAAAGTGCAGAGAAGGGGGCGGAGTCGCAGAAAGTAAATGATTCTGACGAGTCCATATCAGCCACGCCTGATTTCCATGTTAATGCATGAACGAAGGACGGGGCGGCTTTTGTGCAGCGATGGCCCTTGTCCGCCTCATCCTGCTTCTCTTTAATAAGACTGGGCGTCCATTAGGCAAGCAGCACAATGCCCAGCACCCACGTCCCCCAAATAATGGACGTCCCCTGTGGAGGGACAAATGTCTGCTTAATAGAGTCCCTGAAGCACAACTGTGCTTCTCCACACCAGAGCATTCTTCACAGTAGAGTACCGCAGGACAGGTAGAGAGAATCAGGACTTAAGATGTTAAACTTACTATTACATTTAGGTTTTGCCCTATATTGATTTGATGAAAACACTTTTGAAAACATGAATATCTTATTAATATCATTGTGGAAACCACACTATAAAAAATGCTGGGTTGTTTAACCCTTGTGCATCAATTAAAAAAAGTTACACATAGGTAAAAAGAGGACAAAAATGTCCATGTCAAAAAACTGTCATAAAAATGTGACGCTTTGGAGCACAGACTTAAGTTTGGTATCATTTTAAAGAAGACCCTTTGCAGATTATTGCTGAAGTAAAATAATAATAATAAGTAAATTCAAAAAAAAGTTATATAGGTATAAGTTTATGAAAATTATTTATAAAATAATATTTTATATAAAGTATATATTTTTTAAATCAGGTTGAACTCAAAACTACAATAAAATCAAAGCCATAAATCTAAATAGGTTGTGTTCCAAATTTGAGGATGATATCTCAAAAAATGAGCTTTCGGTAACAGTTTGTTTGGGCGTAGTAACATATTTTCCCCATTGGGTCCCAGCAAAACCCCACTGGAGCTCACAGTGATTGGATCTGAATTTGCAGTTTTTCTCTCTCAGTATTACAAACACACACATGCGCACACACACACATATTTTTTTATAACACACATACTAACCACACTCTGACATCCATACCAACACACCGACACAAATATCGTTGCATAATTTATCCAGTTGGCTCTATAGTATGCCGGACCAGAAAACAGGAATAAAGCGACATTTGTTTGATAGGCCAAACTTAAAAAAAATGACACCATCTGATAAAAAATAGTAAAAAATAAAAATTTGAAGCCTTGCCATCAGAATGAAAGCCTCTTAACAAAGATTGCATAATTTTATAGTTAACTGAACCGGGGATTAAAAATGGCAGTTTTAATGGATTTCAATGGGGACATTTTTGTCCAAAAGGGGCTGAGTGGGAGTATTTTTTGTACCTAATGCAAAAAATATTTTTTTAAGAAAATGACGGTGATATAGTAAAATTCCAATAAAAATACACACCTGTGCCAAGTTTTTTGCAGTTAGCTTTAACACAGACAAAGTGGTCAAAAAAACAAAACTGAAAAGGACAAAAATGTCCACAAGGATGCACAAGGGTTAAACCCAAACTTAGGTCAAATATGGACAAACCCAACTATTGGGTTAAAATTTTAAATATAAGACTTAAAGGGATACTCCAGTTTTTTTGGAAATAGGCTCATTTTACAACTCCCCCAGAGTTAAACAGTTGAGTTTCACCATTTTCGAATCAATTCAGCCGATTCATACTTCATACTATGGAAGTCAATGAGACCAGAAACTGTCTGTATACTGATATTCTTCTAAATATCAGAAAATCGGCTGAATTGATTCGAAAATGGCAAAACTCAACTGTTTAACTTGTTTCATGATGAAAATAATGGCTGGTGATAAACAGAGAATTTGATACACTTACCAGCCAATTTTATTGTTTCAATTAATGATATGGTCACACTGACCACTACTACTGTGTCTGCATGTGCGCTAACCGGGGAAATTGATAAAATACTCTTACTGAAACATCTCAGAGCCAGAAAGTGTTCAGCAGCTGAGTTTGGCTCCATGGGACGACTGCACGTCACGGGCGTTACTCCCACAGCGCAGACAGTGATCGGGCAGCTAGGGTAATTGAGTATGAATAAAAGTACAAGGGTGTATTTTCCCTCATGGCACAGCGCTGCGAGAGTGTGACGGAAAAGCAAACGGGTTCAAATGAAGCATGTAATCAGATTAAGGTCCCAGGCAGTTTCGATGGTGACTGAGACAAAGCATGTAGAGAAGGAAAGCATTGGCTTATGTTGACATCACCAGATCATATGTGTGAAAGATCCACCAATACATTTTTATGGGAATGTTTTGGCAATCGCCATGAAAAGGTTTATTGTGTAATATTGACACAGGTAGCAATCTAAGTGGACATGAAATATTGATCTGTGTTGGTGTGAAATGAGAGACAAGCTACAGTATGTAGAGAATTTCATATTTTGTTTTATTACAAGCGCTGCCGTTTTCTCTTTTTGAACAAAAAAACGCTAGAGTGTACCTTTAAATACGTGAATCACATATTATTTCTATTCAATATGATATAAATATTATTGATTCAAGTATTTAAAGGTACACTCTAACGTGTTTTTTTTTGTTGTTCAAAAAGGGAAAACGGCAGAGCTTGTAATAAAACAAGATCAACATTGACTTTGCTTTTCGGTGATGACGAGAACTGAGGGATTTGTTTTTATTACTCAACAGGTGAGTAAGGCATTTTATTGAACAGATAAATTGCCATTTGTAGCTCTCTAACAGCATTGTACAGCATTATCTATTGTGAAGGATTAATTTATTATTGTTGTAGCGCAGTGTACCGTGTCTATTAATGGTTAAAGCTACAGTGACGGCTTCAGCGAGTCAGCTTGAGATCCTTTCCATCTAAACTGATTATAACTCTTAAGCCCAAAAGTGAATGTGTTATGAGCAGTATACCATATTCATCCTCACACAGACACGCAGAGCCGAAGCACAACCAAAACAATGTTCTTCCGCAAAATACATGCAGTTTTGTTTTTTAACCACTAGAGGGCCAAAAGTTACTTAGTCTACCTTTAATTTCAACAATTTATTTATTATTAATTACATTATTATTAACATTGTATTCCATTTTTTTAATCTTGTTAACTATTACGCTTAAACACATTTAAATTATGCTTGTAATTTCACTTTTTATTCTTGTCATTTTATCTGTAATTTTATACTTTATTAAATTACTATTACTAATTTTATTAAATTATAAATTTTATGGAGAATATATATATATATATATATGTTATGTAATGTTATATAATGTTAATGTTTATAACATTATAATGTTTGAATCAACGCATAAAAAAATCGAAACAAATTTGTATTTGGGATATTTTATCATATAGAGCTTGATTGCTCATTAATGCCAGTAAATGGTTTAATTGGTTGAACTCACCTGTAGGCTCTTCTGAACTGCTGTAGGTGGCTGTGGGAGCAGCAACAGGGATTTCTGTAACAAACAGTCAAGAACAAACAATCAAAATCTCATGCCGTACATTTTTTTTTCTAGGCATTGTTGCTTTCAATATACATTACACCTTTTTTTCATTAGTTTTTAAGATAATTTTAGTAGACATATCAGGTTTTTTAGACATATAACTGGTGCCATGAAGACGTGGTGGTGTCTAGTTTTAATGAGTTTCCTCTCAGAAGCCCCTTCTTCCTCTTTTAAGCGTTCTGCTGTTAGATATACGCCGATGGGGGATCGAGGCTTGTTAAAATGTGCAGTTGGCAAAATGTGTGATGTCAGAAAAATGTAATATCAGTCTATTAAAACAAAAGCACGTTATATCACAAGATATATGAGAAACCAAATATTTTCCACTCAATTGTCGGGGCTTCCTCTCTCTCTCCCTCTTTCTTTCCAGATTTAACAGCACATTTGTTACATACCCTGAGAAATTAGGGGAAATCTAGTTTCTAAGGGTTTCATTTGTCTACGTGAATCCTTGCCAAGCAAATCTGAATGGCTTCATGTCTATAGTTGCTTTTGTCAGAGGGCCAGATAAAAAATTTTATTTGGATGTCATCAGTTAGTGCATAATAGAAGCGGTTCACATTAATAGCCACATATTGTTTAGCTCTCCCGGTGAGTATCTTATCGAGAAATGCCAGCTGCTGTGTGGGCCTGTCCTAAATCGCCACAGAGACCGTCTGCTGCCTTGTTGATACTGCCAATAAACACATCACCCATCATGCCCCTGGAGCAGGCGTGAGATTTATGAGTTGAAAGGCCGTCAGCAAGGTTCGGGGGGAGACTAGGTCATGTCAGCCAGGGCTTTATGGTCTGTTTGACTTAGCGGAGGGCAATCAGTGAAATGTCCATCCAAGGAAATAATGGAACAGGGGACCGATACGGAAATTAACTGGGCTGGGGCCATGAAATCATGAATAATAATAGGTGTTTATGCAAAATTTCTTTGGAGTATTATTATTAATGTCTCTGTGGGTGGTAATGGGAAAAAAAACTCATGCTGCACCACCTCATTTAGTCCATGAATCATTTTTGAAGGAAGCTGCACTCTGCTTTTAAAACAACCATTTTGTGTCATTCTGTTATTTATTTGTAGGTCACACACATTTTTCAAGAGGTAGAGACAATGAAATTCAGAAATGTTTTCCTTAACATTAGTATGAGAATAGTAGTAATAGTGAGAATATTCATTTGTTGTGGTTAACAATTTAACTGATCAAAAATATTGTTTCATTGGTAGGAGGCCTACAATTGATCTTCTGGTACTCTCATTAAAATGTATTAGAAATACACTTACTATTTTTTACGACTAGTAAATATGAAGCTGACATGACAGATCGTGATCATTTAGAAATCATTCTAATATTTATACATTTTTGTGGAAACCTTTTTTCTTTCCAGGAAAGTTCAAAAGAACAGCATTTAATTGGAGTATATATCTTTCGAATCATTAATGCCTTAGATTTCACTTTTGATCAATATAATGCATCCTTACAGAGTAAAGTATTAATTTTTAAATATATATAGGCTATATATATCTTGTCGACCCCAAACTTTATAATGGGTAGTGTAATTAATTTGTTGATTTTTTTCGACACTTTTTTTTTTCTACATTTTTATTTTTTATTTTTTTTTTGAAGACACATTAGGAGAAATAGACAAAAAAAGCCAGATAACTCTTACTGATGCATGGGGCGATAGGTGATCTGCTTTGCTGGTATCCTTTAGCACAGCGGTTGCAGGTGATGCCAGTCACACCATCTTTGCATGGACACTGTCCAGTCGTCTGGTTACAGGTCTTACCAGCTGCACCGACCGGGTGACAATCACAGGCTGAAGAGAAAACATAAAACCAGTGGTTACTGATGCAGCACTTTAATGATCTACTGACTCATATTTGCCCGATTTTACACTTTGTAATACTGCACTGTTGCTTACAATGCAAATGATCACTATTTTAAGTGATACATCAGTCAAAAACATAGAGACCTACAGAAAATAATAATAACTTTTTTTATAGGCAACTTAGTTGTGTCTGCATGTGTATCTTTTTGTCTTTTTTCCATGTTTATCTGTATTGCTTTAATGCTTTGTAATTTTTTTGATTCATAAACAAAGATGGCTTAAGAGACATTTGTTCGGGAATCAGACTACACTAGTCGTGCTGTGTTTTTGATTCAGTAAAAAGAATTGGCTCATAATATTCATTTGTTTGTGAATGAGACTACTGATTGCGCTGTATGTTTTGATTCACTAAAAATAACCTTCTCATGACTCATTTTGCCTTGAATCGTACTACACTGGTACTATTATATGTTGTTTTCTCCCGGAAAGAAACTCTATATAAAAGTAAAATAATAATAATATAGTAAAATATTATTTCTGTTGCCGTGGCATAGATTTCACAGCGGGGAGCACAAGGTTATACATGGGTCATGCCCCCTCAAATCTGGTACTTTGCCGTATCACAAACCAGAAACTTCAGTTTGAAATAAATTAGTGGGGTTTTAAGAACAGTTATGGCCCACACCTGTGTCCATGCACTGATCCTGTCCAGAGTGTGTATGTGGATACCGCGGATACCGGCCGTGTGGAGGAAACAGACCTGTTATGCGTCTGTGTATGCAGAGTTATAGCTACTTTTTACGTTCCGACACAGCGCTGTCATTCGCATATGAGCACAGTCTGATCAAGTTTCCAACGTAAAGACTCTTGGCAACGAATAACCCTCACAAATAAAGGCTGAATAATGTTCCCATTAATAATGACGGAACGACGTCTACTTCAAAGGTGCTCTGGCTGTGCTGTTAGTCGAGATGATCACACGTTAAAATGTGAGAATTTCTTTGTGCGCTCACGCTGCCAAACGTTTACCATAAAGCTGCTTGTTTGAAGTCTCAACTTAACTCTTCCCATCAGGTCTTTTTCATGTAGCCAGGGATTCATTTGGAAATTATATGAAGTGGTCCAGCCGTAGTGAGAGCTAAAGCTCTTGGGACTAAAAAAAAATGTGATGAATATTAGAAGTCATTTCTTGAATTAGTAACAAAGGCAATTGTTCGTCTCAGATTTATGTCTGCCCTGGAGAAGCGGTACACAGTCGTAGCAGTGCCAGAACAGAAATGGTTGTTCTGAAGAGACGAGTCATTGCGCCGTTAATCATTTGCCTTTTTTTCTCTGTGAGTTTTATGCAACCTCACAAGTGACTAATATGAACGCACTAAATACTGGAGACACTGTTGAAGCGTCTGTCTGTCTGTCTGTCTGTCTGTCTGTCCGACGGGTGGTCATTCTATCCATTTATCTGTCTCTGTCTGTCTATCTATCATTCTGTCTGTCTCTCTGTCTCAGGCTGTCTTTCTGTCATTTTGTCTGTCTCTGTCTTTCTTTCTGTCTATCATTCTTTCTTGCCTGTCAGATGGTCGTTCTATCTATCTATCTGTCTATCTGTCTGTCTGTCTGTCTGCTGGTTGTGATATCTATCTATCTATCTATCTATAGTATCTATCTATCTATCTATCTATCTATCTACCTACCTACCTACCTGTCTATCTGTCTGTCGGTTGTGATATCTATCTATCTATCTATCTATCTATCTATCTATCTATCTATCTATCTATCTATCTATCTATCTATCTATCTATCTATCTATCTATCTATCTATCTATCTATCTATCTATCCGTCTGTCTGTCTGTCTGCTGGTTGTGATATCTATCTATCTATCTATCTATCTATCTATCTATCTATCTATCTATCTATCTATCTATCTATCTATCTATCTATCTACCTACCTACCTGTCTATCTGTCTGTCGGTTGTGATATCTATCTATCTATCTATCTGTCTATCTATCTATCCGTCTGTCTGTCTGTCTGCTCGTTGTGATATCTATCTATCTATCTATCTATCTATCTATCTATCTATCTATCTATCTATCTATCTATCTATCTATCTATCTATAGTATCTATCTATCTATCTATCTACCTACCTACCTACCTGTCTATCTGTCTGTCGGTTGTGATATCTATCTATCTATCTATCTATCTATCTATCTATCTATCTATCTATCTATCTATCTATCTATCTATCTATCTATCCGTCTGTCTGTCTGTCTGCTGGTTGTGATATCTATCTATCTATCTATCTATCTATCTATCTATCTATCTATCTACCTACCTACCTACCTACCTGTCTATCTGTCTGTCGGTTGTGATATCTATCTATCTATCTATCTATCTATCTATCTGTCTATCTATCTATCCGTCTGTCTGTCTGTCTGCTCGTTGTGATATCTATCTATCTATCTATCTATCTATCTATCTATCTATCTATCTATCTATCTATCTATCTATCTACCTACCTACCTGTCTATCTGTCTGTCGGTTGTGATATCTATCTATCTATCTATCTATCTATCTATCTATCTATCCGTCTGTCTGTCTGTCTGCTGGTTGTGCTATCTATCTATCTATCTATCTGTCTGTCTGTCTGTCTGTGATATCTATCTATCTATCCGTCTGTCTGTCTGTCTGCTGGTTGTGCTATCTATCTATCTATCTATCTATCTATCTATCTATCTATCTATCTATCTATCTATCTGTCTGTCCGCTGGTTGTGCTATCTATCTATCTGTCTGTCTGTCTGTCTGTCTGCTGGTTGTGCCTGCTATCCATCTATCTATCCATCTCAGCCTTTCTCAAAGTGGGTGCCGCGGCACACTGGGGTGCCCCCTAGCTGTGTCAGGGGTGCCGCCAAAAAATTACGTAGGCTAAAAAAAATGTGAAAAAAAAACCCCAGAAAAAAACAGCTGACATTTCATATATAAATATATTTGAATTTACATTCTTTTTTTTAAACATATGAACATATTAATAAAATTGTAAATTCATTTTAGATAAATATATCAAATTAATCATAAAAAATCCGTCTCACAAGTCCGAAGCAATACACACACAACTTGACGCAAGTGACGCAATCCATAGCAACGCGTTATAGCAACACCTCAGACTGACAGAAACGTAAAAATAAACGTGAATTTAGGCCACTTTAGTTACAGCATTATGGATCGTTTTTTGAAAAGAAAATCCTCACAAGAGCCGGGGATTTTTATTTTATCTGCATCCTGCACTTCATTTGAGTTCTCCTGGTCTGGATTTGTTATTGGGTTCTTGTATTGGGCGGTCCACCTCTTACGGTTTTATGGCATTTGTGTCTCTGATTAATTATTTTGTGAATTACTTTCCAAACCTGTGTTTTTAAAGGTGCTATAAAGTTTTTATTATTATTGTTATTTACAGTTCATATTATGCTCTGTTCATTACTGTTCTGTCTAACTAAACAAGACATTTGCATTTAAATTTGGGTTATGCAGTGTTTTTAAATTATATTTTACACTGGGGTGCCTTGAGATTTTATGCACTTTTGAAAGGTGCCCTGACTGAAAAAAGTTTGAGAAAGGCTGATCCATCTATCTATCTATATATCTATCTATCTGTCTGTCTGTCTGTCTGCTGGTTGTGCTATCTATCTATCTTGTCTGTCTGTCTGTCTGTCCGTCCATCCATGTGTGTCTGTCTGTCTATCTATCATGTTCTGTATTTCTGTCTGTCGGACAGTCATTCTATCCATTCTATCTATTCTGTCTATCTATCGATTGAGAAAACTGACTGTAGAAGAAATTTCAATAAACATTTTAGAACGCAATGTGTGAAATTCAGGTTGTGTAGTATTTCAGTAAAGAATTTGCATTCACATTCATATATAGAATACGTCTCTGGCCTTAGCATTTGGCTAAAGAGATGAGAATGCGCTCCGCATATTATTTTCTGAATAGAAGGCACACATGGAAGAACTGTAGAAATCCCTTAAAACACATTTAAGGAAAATGTTTTAGCAGTACTTTAGTTAAATTTGGATTTGACCCATCACTGATGATTTAGCTGATGTTGATAAATGCTACACAAAGTGGTGGGATGCTTTGAATTTCAATACCCACTTAACATTAGGTTAAAAGCAGCTACAGTTCTGCACTTAAGCCACCCACCAACCAGCCCACCGCCAGCTGAATTACGACACCGCTCTTACGCCTTCACAGGCGACCCTACAACTCTACAGCACATAATCTAAACCAGAGCTACTAATAATTCAGCAGCAGTAAGAAGAAATGCTGGGGAAATGGCCGTGGGGCAATGCGGCATAGACTAAGTTCTCATGGCTGTTGAAAACCCCTCTCCATGTTTAAAGGAACAGTTCAGTTTTAAGCACAAGTATGGGACAGAGAGAAATGTGGGATGAAGTTGTTAATCTGGGATATAAAAGCATGAGGTGTTCCAGACTGCCACTGACAATGGATCTGGTTTTGGGTCTGATTTGTCTTGGTAGGTGCTCTGCCGTCTTGTTATTTACAAGCGATATTCCTTCTTTTTCCAAACGACCCGTACGCGCTGAACACTGCTGGCCCGATTTTGCGTTTCCCATCCAAAATAAGCACAATGAGATGGTTGCCTGACACGAACTATAAATACAGCAGTCCGCTACACAACGTCACACGGTTGAGGAGTTTTTCACCTGAGACGAGTGAAGCAATCAGCTTGACAATGGTGACTGGAACTCCTCAGCATTTCCCGGACAAGCTTTGACTCTACCGGCCGTATTCTGTATGTTAAGGTCATTACAAGACCTTACAAGCCCGTATCCCTCGCATCTGGCCTCCGAGCATCCCATATATAGCCCGAGTAAATGTTTTGGCTGGCAGGGGAAAGCTGTTTAAAACCATTTGAAACCTCCCATGAATCAAATGCATTCCTCTTGTGATAACACACAGCAAAGTCAATGTAACATGGGCAGTGTTTGCCATCCATCACATCTGCACATTAGAACCCGACAGTCCGCAAAAAAAATTAAGCTACCCCAGTGATTGGGTTAGCAACCTCTCATATCAATTATGCTGTGGTTTGTCGAAGCTTTCAGTTCGTCAAACTCTGGGTCTGCTAGAGTCAGATGAGAATACAAGTTATCTTGGCTTGAAGGTGGGAAATATGCAATAGCAAAGAATGTTTTGTGAGTGAATGGACTATGGGAACATGGGGGACTGACATTGTGAAATTCATCTGTGGACCAACCGTGGATCAAATCCATGCATTTAAAACTACAGCCGCCTTGGAATGTCTGATTTCGCAAGGCTGTGAACGGATATGAAAAATTGAATATACTGTGTGTATATAAAGTAACATAATATTATATGAATATCTAAATATATCTTTAGGCATGCATTTGCACAACTGTATGGCCATCTTTTTTTTCTCATTTCTTGTCCACACTCAGGCCACGTTGCAAATCCTAGTGAGCAGGAAAGTTGCATAAGTGACTGTTTGGAACGTTCTACATGGGCAGCAGGTGTGTGTCATACGAATTATGGTCCTCATGTGAAGTGCATGGGAGATTACACTCACAATTGATTCCAACAGAGTGTGTAACAATAGCATTAGCATAAGTTTGCCAAGATACTTTTAAAATACTCTAATAAAAACTGGAATGTTATTAATTATTTAATTTAGTTAACTGTTTTATCAATACTATTGGCATTAAACCATCGTTTATAACCAACATTTCTCTCATTTATCCATATTGAATGGTTGCATATCACAATGCATTGCTTTGTTTGCAAAGGATATGCAGTGCTCCCTTAGAAATTGGCCAAAATAAAGCATAATAATGCTACCTACTGTACCTTTTGATATTTCAAAAGGCCAGAGATGCCCACTCAGATGCACCACTGCTCCTGACTTCGAGTCACTGTTGAATCAACGCAGGTGCCAGTGTTGGATAACTGTTGAATTTTGAAGTTGTAGCCGACAAATGATGTTGATTTGACGTACAACTCAAAAATTGTTGATATTTCTATGTTGAATCCATAGTGACTTCAACTATATGGTGTTCAACGTTGTTTTGACTCTGAATTCATGTTTTTTTTTTCATAAACTGACATTATTTCAACAACATTTAAACATTTCATGTCAGTCGAATGCCAGCGGGGCTGTGATGAGCTCTTGCCAACAAATTGTTCTCTCAGACACACCCCTTATTATGGGTGTTTTAAAGGAGTAGTTCACTTTTAAAAAAAAACTTTTGCTGATAATTTACTCACTCCCATGTCATCCAAAATATCCATGTCTTTCTTTCTTAAGTCGAAAAGAAATTATTTATGAAAACATTTCAGGATTTTTCTCCATATAATGGACTTCAATGGGAACCAAACGGTTCAAGGTCCAAAAAACAGTTTCAGTGCAAACAAAAAATTGTTGAAAGGGCTTTAAACGATTCCAAACGATGAATAAGGGTCTTATCAAGCGAAATAATTGCTCATTTAAAAAAAAAAAAAAAAAAAAAGTTTAAGTTTTATAATCACAAATGCTCGCCTTGCTCAGTTCTGTGATGCGGGTTTGTGACTCTCCTGTTCGAACTCATTTATCAAAATGAACGAATCTTTTTCCGAGTCAATTCGTTCACTTCGTTCGTTGAATGACATGAAAAAAGATTTTTTCATTTTGATGGACAATTTTGAACAGGAGAGTCACGAACGTGCATCACAGAACAGAGCAAGGCGAGCATTTGAGCTTATAAAACTTAAACTTTGTTTTTTTTTTAAATGAGCAATCATTTCGCTTGATAAGACCCTTATTCATCGTCTGGTGTCGTTTAAAGCCATTTGAACAGTTTGTATTTTGCACTGAAACTGTCTTTTGGACCTTGAACCGTTTGGTTCCCACTGAAGTCCATTATATGGAGAAAAATCCTGGAATGTTTTCATCAAAAACCTTCATTTCTTTTTCAACTGAAGAAAGAATGACATGGACATCTTGGATGACATGGGGGTAAGTAAATTATCAGCAAAAGTTTTTTTTTTTTTTTTTTTTTTTTTTTAAAGTGAACTACTCCTTTAAGTCTTCCTGTATTTGGACAAAGGTAAGACAACAGTCTTTTTTTCTCTGTTTTTTTTTTATTTTTATTTTTTTATAGTCAGGTACCATCATTTTTTTTTAAGTCACCTTTCTACTGTTTAGGCATTCAGCCAAGTTCTCTTTTAGGCTGTTTCAGGCAAGTTTGGACAAAATTTAGGAATTTTAACATTTTATCTAGATTTAAAGTTCATTATTTGCAGTGATTGCTTACCTTTGCAGGCTCGCCTGTGTGAGATGGCCTTGGTCATGTCTCTGTAGTAGCCCTCTTTACAGTAGTGGCAGTGCCGTCCGGCTGTGTTGTGTCTGCAGTTGAGACACACTCCTCCACTCCTGCGGCCCGATAGCTTATACAGTTCCATGTTGAAGCGGCAGCGACGGGCATGAAGATTACAGTGACAGGCTTTAGAAGAGATGGAAATTGGGAAGATAAAAAAAAAAGAGATTAGCAGTTGTTCAATTCTCACAAATACATTACCTGTCTGTTTCTGTTTAAATATATTTTTACACGTTCCTTTTGAGAGCTTTAACTGAGGAAATTGCAAAGGGAAAATGACTGCGAGATCACATTCCAACAATTTTAGTGCTTATCTGTAAAATACCCATGAAGTACTTCTCTCAAACATCATATATTTTAGTGAACAATCATACAATGCTTTATTGGTGGTGAAGGTTGTACCACTTCTGATAATGTGGAGTCTGAATCTGATGTGATGTGAAATGATTTTCTGTCCCCTGGTGATCATAGAATACCATTAACACAGTGAGCGAGAGAGTATAGGCCAGATTCATCTAGACATATGACTAGTATCCTGAGAGAGCTTTATTATTTTAATGACATCATTGGATCTCCGGGCTTCCGTCCATTTACAATGTTTCAATAAGAGACAACGGCTTTATAAAACTACTCGCTCCAGATCCGGCACACACACCTGCCCATGACTTTGACCTCTAACCCTTACTGACAAATGGTGTTCAAGCTTCATCCATTTCAAAAGGGGTTGGACAATAAAACTAAAACACTGGCCAATATAGTGTTAGAGGTTGCATGTCTGTATATGCGAGGCCTGATGGCCAATCTTCACTGATTGCACATTCCATCAGTAAAAGCAGAGTGAAGGTTAAATTAGCAGAGCAATTGCACAGCTGTACATAAAATATTGCAATACACACAAAATATCAGACATATCAGAGTTCAAAAGAGACAGATTATAGGTGCAGGTCTCGCTGACTCATCCATCTATCTTTCTATCTGATAAGTGTGCCGCACAAGTACTGAAAAGTGAAGCCAAAGCTTCCCCAGTGGCTGGATGCAGTATAGGTAATAAACCCCGCCTTCTTCATGTAATCGAATGGGACGTAAGACTAAACAATCAAATAAAAAAGCCTTGATAACGCGGCTTTACTTTTTTATGAGAGAGAGTGAAGCTGCGTGCGTAGTACTTTTTTTTACAGTCTATGGATCGATATAGAAAAGAGATGGGCAACTCCATTCCTGATATAAAGTATATATGAAGAGTTCAGATGCAAAAGCCTCTAAATGCCATTTGAAATTTTCTTCATTAATGAAGATTTTTTATCAAACTTGTATATTTAAGTTCAGTAATTTCACTTAAATAACAATTAATAGGTAATTATCATTGCCATTTAAGTGAAATCACTGAACTTAAATATACAAGCTTGATAAAAATGATCATTCTAGAAGAAAATTTCAAATGGCACTTAGAGGCTTTTGCATCTGAACTCTTCATATGTTGAAATAACCACAAAAGAGAAGCCACATTTGTACATCTACACAGAGACTGCGGGCACCATCACACCTGCTGAGTGTGACTAAATAGGGACATGGACTGTCGCTCACACATACACAGAAAAAAAGTGCTAAGCAGCTGTCATGTTTTATCCTGCTGACACTAGAACACTTCAACCACTCATCGTAGTGATAACATACCAGGCCTTGACTATCTCTCTCTCTCTTTTACACACCATAACAGTGTGCTCATACATAGTCAAGTGAAGTCAGTTCTGAAATGAGGCCTCCATGTTGACATTATTTTTTGTGACTTTTCAGCTGGAAAAACACAACACAAATTGATATTGTAACAGTAAATGAGAATTGAAATGAATTGTTCTACTTGCACCAGCTCCAGGGCACTTTCTTATTTTTCTCTGAAAATAATAAACATTGTTTTTCCATTTTCAAACCCTAATTCATTATGATTTTATTTGCGCCGAAATTTTCGGTTCGATCGTTGCTTGTGTAATGTTTGTCAAAACATTGTTTGCACATTAAATCTCTTACTTGTTTTTACTCTGTTATGTTCTGATAGGATCACAATATTATTACAAATATGTCACAATGTCAGTTAATCAGACATTGAGGAGATGATTTATTATTGATTGCCTAAACTAGTTGGAAATGGAAAAGGTCTGTTACATTTGTCATTCATCCAGGCACGCCAAGCTTGCATGTGAAAAGACATTCAGCCAAGCATGGCTCCATTATTCACAACAGAGACCAGCTCCTCTCACTACGAAAGCCTTGCAGGTTTTGGGTGAGTAATCCTCAGAGAACTGAAAATCTAAAGCAAGAGGTGTAGAAATGGGGGAAATGATCAGTATAAACATGGTTAAATTAACTGAATCGTGCCATTAATGTTACCACTGAGTGATTCCAAATGGTGCATGTGGACCAAAGTGGGCAGATACATTGGTTAAAAAAGGTTATATATATATATATATATATATATATTGGTTATATATATATATATATATATATTGGTTATATATATACAGTGCCCTCCACAATTATTGGCACCCCTGTTTAAGATGTGGTCGAGGACTTTTAAAAATTCTCCCTTTTTTTTAAACAACATAGAATCCAAATGCAAAAAAAGAGAAAAATCCAACCTTTTATTTAAGTACATTACTTTGGTGGTAAAATTTTTTTTTTAAATTTAAAAAAATAAAAACTTCAAATCATGTGTCCCACAATTATTGGCACCCCTGATGGTAATACTTTGTACAACCCCCTTTTGCCAACAAGACAGCACTTAATCTCCTCCTATAACATTTCACAAGATTGGAGAACACAGAGAGAGCACTGTAAAAAGTCGTTCAGTGCTATTGTTCTTATAACTTAATTTTAAAAACTATATTTATTCAAATAAATTAACTTATTTTTCTTTCTTTGTTTTTTGAGTTTTCAAAAAGTAAAAAAGTGTGAATATTTTCGTAACCTAATATTTTCTATAATAAAATTAATTTAATTGGACTTCACAAAAAATTGATTTTACAAAACTCATTTTAAAAGTTTATATCAGACGTATCAGACGTGAAAAGACACGACCCGCCCACTACCTGCAGCAACAGAAGAACAAGCCCGGGCAAATTCTTCATTCTCGTCTGTTCCAGAAGTTTATTTGAACGAGGTTTTCTACGGAGCCGGATAATACTTCATGTACCTCATGTAAGTAACTCTTTGTATTGTTAAAATTGAGATTTTACCCTAATTAACGTCTTTCTGCTGCACAATCGCTCTGTCGAATAGCGCCAATTTCGAATGTGCTCTAACGTTAACGCTGCTACCTCAAACAGTTTGTTAAAGTCCCCGTGAACCGGAAGTTGCAAACGATTTTTCTCCAGTGCTGTGACGTATTTCCAAGTGAAACGGAATATTGAACAGAGGGCAGGGTTTTACTCTAGCGCTCCTCCTCTCCATCTCTCGCTCATAGCAAACTAACGGTTTGAGGGGAGTGGTTAAGCGTTTCCCCACCCAAGTTGTGAAACCTACGTCATCAGAAAACGAAACCGTTCCAGACCGGAAGTAAACTTTTCAGATTTTGATTAAAGATTACCAAGGTAAAACATTTTTTAAATATATTTTTACTTGCACGGATTAATTGTTCACCACAAGACTAGTAATATGCGCTAACAAAGTAAATAGGTTCAATTTTGATTTCACGGGGACTTTAACTTGAGCCACACAACTTACTGTATTAATCTACGTGTGTGTGCGCGCGTTGTATAAGTAATGTTATCTTTGAGTGATAGTTTAATTTTTCAGAGGTGTTTGTAACTTCTTCATAAACATTGAGTCCACTGCTAACGCTGTCGAAGTTACGACAGACACGTAGCCACAGCTACATTTTAGCTAAGTTAAGTGATTACTGATTATCGTCGGTTGGAGATGAATGTAAATGTGCCAGTGCAGCAGTTACTTTAACGAGTACACAATCTAACCAAAAACACATCGATGAGGGAGTACCCATTTGCAACTATGAGTGTGGGCACTGTTAGCTAATGTGGATTAGCACATATTAGCCTGAAATACACCCACACCGCCCGCGGTTAACACACCTCAACGGTGGTGCTCAAGGTGCAGGCCAATTTCTCCTCATCCAGCGTGCTTTACACGTGTTTGTATTAACAGGAAAACTTTGTATTTGACTGTGGCACATTCACACATCTCACACCAACACACTTTGCAGTCATTCCAGTTGTTCCACTAATATTTTGGCAAGAGAGGTTAACTTACCAGTATTTTAGGCTATCTAACCATCACAATTAGTCAAAAGCTGTTTTATCATGGTAAAGCATAGTTAAGGCAATTATTCGGCATAGATCCTCTTTCACAAAATTGTATTTTATGCATTTGTATTTTACTCATAACCCAAATTTCATATTCATATTGCTCTGTAATTATTTGGTACAGATGTCTAACTTGATATATTTATATCAATTTTATGGATGCATTTAAAAAATATTTAAGAGAGAACAGTAGTAGACATGATGTTTCAGATTATTTTCAAAAATTCTATGATGAACTAAAGTTAACCATTCTTGTCTTGTCCAGCAGGATAATCTTCATTTGTATTTTAAGTGCATTTTTTAATGGATTTTATCAGGCTTGTATTAAAAAGTCTAGATGTAAACTAACTTTATTTATTTTTATTGACAGATGGGATGGCCCTGTAAATTGTGCAACACTGTGGTACCAGGAAAGAGGGCCATTTTAAAGCATTATAGACTGCATCTATGTCTGCATGATGCAACATGAGCATCTATGTCTGCCGTGAGCCAGATGCAGTAGGAATCATCATTGAGGGAATACCAGTCCTTACCAATCTTGGAAACCTGGCCAAAGCATGCTGCTTCCTGCTTGGGTTGACATATGCACTTAATCTTGAGTATCCATCCAAGCTTTCCAAAACATTTGAGGTGTTTCAAACGCTTTTTGTGGGACTTGACACACTGCGCCCAAAACCAAGCCCCAAGTTCATGACCCTGAAAAACTGTCACTGCACTTGTGAACAGCTGTTTTCTTTGTCTGTTCAACATCATTGCAGATTGGACATAATGAGTGTTATGTCCAATATAACATTGGTCCAATATAACTGAATG